TTCTGCAACAGCTGTCGTTGTTTTTGCTTGCCTTTTTTTCTTCTCTCGTATACACGCTATCCTGATGACTCGGGAAGCCGTAGGATAAAAACACGAGAAAATTAAATAAACCGAAAGATTTATGAGTAATCCTGCAGAAAGAGCAGCGGAGCGACCGATTCGAAGACGAATTTCGAAACCTTACAATCGCAATGTATGTATACGCGACGCACACAGTGTATAATGCCACGTAGCTCGCGCGCCGCGCAATTGCATTAATTTTTCCATTCGGCCGCGCAGATTACGCACACATACACACGTACATTTGCTGACATTTCGAGTGCGCGACCCCGGGATCCTTATCTAATTTTCGAGATACTTTTTAGTGCTCCGACCTCTTGTGTGTCGACGAAGCGTGTCAAATGCGATAATGCGATTGATGCCCGCTACGCCGCTTAGATTCCAGATTTATTATTCAGTGCAGAGTAAAAAAAAAAGAAGGAAACGAGAACGAAAAACGCAGAAGAAACGAGAGAGAAAGAGAGGATACAAAAAAAAATACACCTAATTCGCAACGCAATAAAAGACCGATTAAAATGCGCGCTGACAACGACGACGACGACGACGTGTTTGTTGAAGCGGCCATTCAACTCGTGTGCGTTGCTGCTGCTGCTGTTCTTATCGCATCGCGGTTCAGTAATAGCAGCGACAGCAATGCCAGTTGATGTAATATTACCAGAATTCGCATTCAAAAAAATTTTCGAGGCGATTTGCAAGAGCGACTTTGACATACTGATACCGCCGAGCTGAATTAATGCTCGAAAAGCACTGTTTGCTCGACTTAATTATAATGCGAGTTAGCTTTCTGATCAGCGCACCGAGTGAATCGCGGGTCTCTTTATGTACTTGTTGCCTCGCGAGGCACAGCAGTTATACGCATGCAATTTATATTATCTAAGTATATATTGTTCTTGTGCTAAGCAGGCCAAGCGAGCAAGCAAATGGCATAATTTATCGTCGAGTCGGTGTGGCACACGTTTTGTTTTTATCGGTCGATGCCATGCAATCGCGATCTTAATATTCATTTATACGAGCGCACTGCCGCAAGAGGCTTTAAAAATAAACGAATAACGAATTTTTTTCCTCAATGCATTAATGATTTTTTGAATAATTCCGCGCGCTTCATAAAAGCACTGCTTAACGTACAGTGTTCCGTGCATTTTTCGTTCTCGACGCGCTTATTTCTTGCCGATTTTCTCCTCGCGCCAAAAATGTACGAAATGCCGCTGCCAGGATGGACAGACCCGTTACACAAAAGTGAAACTGCGCTCAACTGTGTCTCACTCTCTGTGCTCTTTTACGTACATTTTAATTCGTATTATAATTAAATTTTTTCGAGGCAATCGGATTTGCCCAACGGTGCTGTGTTAATTCTGCGTGCGCCTATTTTCTACTACGCCGAATTCGTGCAAGATTTACACATATTTTTCAACGCGAAAGAACGACGATCGTAAATTCTCGCGCGCACATAATATCGAGAGTGCAATAATATTTTTTTCGAATCGAACCAGGAAAAAAAAAATAAAACGAAACAACAACGAACGAATCTCGATGTACGACGGAAAAATTTCGATGATTATGCAACTTATTATTATTGTATATATTTTTTATTTTTTTCGCGTCGAGTGCCGGCGGCCTGCATTTTTACACTGGCCAGAGCGATCGCGATGTCGAACGGTGGCGGCGGCATTCTCTAGCAAAGCTTTGTACGCGCGCGCGCAGAAGAAGAAGAAAAAAAAGAGAGAACACAACAAAGTATCCGCGCGAATCAAGAGCAGCAGCGAGACTAAGATAAACATGTTTTTGAAGGAATATAATGAATAAAAAAAACGCAACGAGTGCAAAGACAAAATATTTACACCTTTATCTCGCACATATACGCACACACGAAAAAAACAAGAACACAGGTAAAAAAAGTGAATTGTTCGGGATAAACCAGCTCTCGAGTGTGCGTCGAGTGTGTGTGCTCTCTGTATTGAAGTATATTGCAAAAACGCGACTGTATAGGCGATAATAATCAGAAAAGATTAAACTTTGCGATAATGTCAGCTAAACATTCTAAAATGGCATGGTTATAAATATGTGTGTCGCGCGTTCGGTATGTGTCTACACAGTAGCGTTGCAACGTTCTAGCCAATAATAATATCGTGGCGGGCAAAAAAAAAAACGAACTCGATCGCTCGCACACGTATCGCATATTTTGTCTATTATATCGCGTTGCGTATACGACTCTTTGACTCGAAAAATAATTCGTTCGTCTCCAGCATGAGAAGAGCACGGACAAATGCACGTAAGACTCGTCTCGACTCGCAAAGTCGCGAGGATGATCGTTTGCGCGTAATACAAAGGTAGAAAACTGCTGTTGCTACGAGGCACACGAGACAGGTGCAAAGCGTGGTGTACTTGCATTAGTGCTCGTATTGTAGGGTAATGGTACGAATGCGCGCACACCTGGTACGGGTCTATGAGAAATAGACAACAGTGGTAGTAGTGGGTTGCTTTCAATCGAGACGAGATCCCATTGTGGAGTCGACGAATTTCCGTCGTGATCGTGTATAGGGCACTGCACCGACCACAGAACCCAACAAGTCGTTACTCGAACTTTTCTCATTTCTATATAAATTTTTTTTTCCTACAACGCGCACGCGTGGCTTTATAAGCTTAGAACGAATATAATCTCGGTTATCGGTTTTTAGCGCTCGACGCGTACGTGCTACGATTCATGTATCGAGGCATTTAAGCGCTGCACCGCTTCGAGAAATCCATCGTGTATATAATATGGGACCTCGAGAAGTGAATCGATGAAGAAAAAAGTCTCGAGGCGCATTGTGGACGTCGTCACCCTCGCTCGCGCATGCACAAACGCACATACATACACGAGCCTGTGTGTGAAAGGATATGAATGCGGTAGGATCTAGACGCGCATAATGCGACAGCGTATCGCGTTACCGGCGAGCTTCATTTCGTATGCGCGTGTAATACAGGCCTTCTCTAGCAGTATCGTGCATCCTTCGGCAGGACTCGAGACAGCAACAAAAAAATAAAGAGAGAGAAAGAAAATAGTTTCTCATGCACACGGTCAATTATGCGTAGGTACGTACGTACGTATACGCGTCAAGATTTCGTGCGGAGATGGCGCGGGGCGCCCACTTGGAATATAATAATTCACCTTGTGCGCACGTCGCTCTCCCTCGTGCAATGAGGAAAAGGTTCTTGCTAGTCATGGCAGCAGCAGCAGCAGCAGCAGCATATGCGTTACACTACCCGTGAAAGGATTCCCAAGTCCATCCTATATGTACAAATGTGCTGCGCTTATATTCATAAATTGGTTCGCGAGCGCAACGAAATACGGCCCTCCCGCATATAATGCGCCCCATAGACACCCGCACGCACACACACACACATTGCGAATCGTAACCGAGAGAGAGAGAGAGAAAAAAAAGGCAGCGTGAGAAGGCGAAAGTAGGTCACGCATGGTGGCGACCCTAATGTATATATACATTTTATGCGAATAGAGAGAGAGCCGCGCGCGCGTAGGGGACAAAAAAGAAGCCGAAATATATGCGCGCACATTTTTAGCGTTGCTGCTGTTTTGCCGCTGCTACTACTAAGCTGCCGTTGCTGTTGCAAAAACATGGAAATTAAGGCGAATTGTTTTTTTTTTTTCGGAAATTTTTCAATTCGTCATTTCGCATAAGCGTCGCACACAGCAGCAGCAACTCGTGCAGCACAAGAGCTACTAGCGAGCTATTATACAGTCGAGAGTGCAATGACCGCCCGTTTTAACATATCTTTTCCTTAACGCCTGTTTGTATTATTATACGCACGGTATTTTGTGACTATTTTTCAAGCTATGTGCTCGTTCGCTAACTCTGGTGCGAGGCGCGCGTGCGCGTGTATGCGATATTGTGCGTATATTTTTAAAAATATACATACACACACACACATAAAGAGACTTGCAATATGCGTATGGTTCGATGGCATTTTATTTTTAGGATAAAGGTCGCCCAAAAGTTCTTCTCTAGCCCGCCGCGCTGCGCGTGTGTGTAACGGAAAGTTTTTCCTCCGTAGATTCTATGCGTTTTTATAAATGAGATGGGTGTGTGTATATTTTTAGATATATACATATAAGCCGCGGGCACGAGCGTCGTGGTATTATTGAGTACAGTCATCTCGGCTCCACTGCTGTACTTGCAATTTTGTTGAATTATGTGTTTTGATGGCCTTTTCCGGTTTGCTGCAGAGCATAATAAGCGCGAAAATAAAAAAGAAGAGCGCAGAGAGAGAGAGGCCCGCCGCCCGAGACAAAGAGAGAGAAGAAGACGAAGCGGGTTATACCCAGATCTGATCCGTGCCTATGGGCGCGCGCGCGTGCGTAGAAAAAAAATATGCGCGCCTTCGGAGAAGGAGAAAGTAGTGGTAGTAGTAGCAGCAAAAAAAAAGGGAATTTGAATAAACTTCGAATGCTTCTTGACAAAGCTGCAAAAAAAAATGTGTGTGCCTCTCACATGCGTGTAGCACGAGAAAAGAAACGCGAGTTTCTTATACCCTATGCGTATAATATGCATATAAAGGACTTGTACATCGCGATAAAGAAACACAAATCGAATTATCGCGTTGATCTCGCGCGCGCGCGCGATATATGTTTTCTTATTTATTTTCTGTGGCCTGTCGCTTCGCACGAGAAATGTTTAATTAGCCCCGCGTATACGAGAGAGCCTTTTCAATGCAAACTTCCCAGCGCCACTTCGGAGCGAGACCCGAAGAATTGATTATTTTTTTAATGGTACTTTTGAAGCACGCGTGCACGTGTGCACGTGTAAAGGACGTTATCCCGTTACACCGATTTAATTTCAGATTCAGTAGAAAAATAGCTGAAAAACAATGATCTTTATTCATTCGTCAAGTGTGCAAGCTCGAAACCAATCATGGATGTGTTTTTTTTTTCATTTCGGTTGCAGAACAAACGTTCGCGGTACACAGGATCGTTTTGGCAGCATGCAGCTCGTTCTTCATGTCCGTCCTTGAAAAAACGTTTCCGAACTCGCCACACGCCACCGTGATCATCCTGAACGTCAAGCCCGACAACATGAAGGCACTGCTCGAGTTCATGTACTCGGGACAGGTGAACGTGTCCCAGGACACGCTCAAAGAGTTGCTCAAGGACGCAGAGAATCTGCAGGTCAGTGTCGTGACGCGGATCCGCAACGACCACTACAATTCGGGCTTTCTTTTTTAACAAATTCCAAATTCTTATCGTCGCTCATGCTCTTTACAGATAAAAGGACTGTCGGTGATCGATCCGGAAAAGGTGGAAAGGATGGGGCCGGATGAGGTGGCCAGCACCCTGAAGGATTCCAGGCTGCAGCTGTCGACGAGAGGCCCGCTCGGCCTGCACAACAACAACAACTCGCACGAGGACGACCACAACAACGGCCTGTCCCATCATCAGCGTCTGAACCATCTGAGCCAGCAGACGATCATCCTCAACGGGCACCACGGCAGCTCGTCCAGCAGCACCACGCCCTCGAACACGCCGCACAACTCGAGCTCGAGTCCGGGCGCCGACGTGCAACAGCAGCAGCAGCAGCTCGCGGCCAACAACAACGCCGGCCAGAGAAACGACCTCGAGAACGGGGACGGCGGCAGCAGGGCGCAGGCCCTGGCCAAGATGCGCCTCGGCAGCGAGTCGCCCAACGGCCACAACAACCACAGCAGCGCCGGCGGCTCGCCGGCCCTCACCGGCATACCCGGCTACGGCTCGTTCCTCGCCCAGCAGACCATGTTCTACGACAGCCCGCAGAAGAGGCTCATGAGGTGAGTGGAAGCGCGCGAATCCCAACGACAACAGCGTGTTTTTCGCCTTTTATTTTTATTCGTGTGTTTTTATTTTGCCTTCTTTTCGGCCTCCGAAAATTCTGCACGCTCCGCTTGGCTCGTTGTGTCGTAACGCAACGCATCTCTTCGTTCTCTGCTTCTTCTTCGTCGTCTTCTTTTTCTTCTTCTCTCTATGATTCTCTTGTTGTTCGCGGTACCGTTATGTGCGCGATCGGCTCGATGATGCTTCTTTTTTTCTTCGATTCTTCTATTTTTCGCTCTCTTGGGGCCTCGTTCGTCGGAGGCTTTCTTTCTCTCGCAGCTTCGGGTATACGCTGCACGATTTAATAATGTAATAGCAAAGCGCGCCTTTGTCCCGACAGGCCTAGAAGAGAGAGAGAGAGATTCTTTTGCAATCCGGCCTTTCGGCTTTTTATTTTACGACGACGCGACGCGCTCTTTAGTATGTGTGTGCAAGCCAAACCCGATGCGAAATGACCAAGTACAGTTATGTTGCTGCTATTATTATACATATATGTATGCCAATGCTACTGAAGCACACTGCTCTTCTGATGCTTTTGGCCTTGGAATAATACGAACTCATTCGCGATTCATACTTCGGCGCTCTGCGAAGTTCCATATTATAGAGCTGCTGCTGCTGCTGCAATGGTGCCCCGATGATGCGTGTATGTGTGTGTGTCTGTTTGAACAAGTGTCCGTCGTCGTCGTAGCGACGCTTCCACGAAATTCTCTCTCTCGGCTTTGTTATTTGCATCGGGCCTCGTTAAACTGCTCTATCTATCATTCTCTATCTCGCTCGCTATGGGAGCTCTTTCTTTCTGCACAACTGCGCAATTGGAAAAAAAAGAAGAAGAATGAATTAACCGATGCTAGCTTCTGCTTGACGACTAATACCTATGGGTAAAATCGAAAAATACCGTTATGAAAGAAATACCTAAAGAACCATCTTTTTTCGACCCGCCTTCAAGGGATTTCAGTGCAGTTTTTAATGCCTTTAACAACGAATCTAGGAAAAACGGCATCAAGAGCGAGCTCCAGGACATGAGCAACAGGTCGGCGATGATAAACGATGCGAATTATCGTTCCAGCGTGTCGCCGCACCCATCCTCGCACTCCATGTCCATCGATCCCCGCTTCCAATACGTCGCGAATCATCTGTCGCCGCTGGCCGCGGCCTCGCCCCAGCACCATCAGCGCCACTCGCCCAACAATCTCAACTCGCCCGATCGTCATCACGATCGGGATCGCTCGATGGAGCGCGACGACAACAACGCCGCCGAAGGTAAATATACCGGACACAACCATAAACAACCATAATAAACACAAAACACATTTTCATTACATAATCCTGTTAGTATTTGTTGAGATTGTAATGTAAAAATCCTAAACCTACATAAGTACTCGATATGTGTATGTCGCAACTCCAGTCGAAAGTCACGTAGGTCCTGCCTCAACGAAACTGTCAATTTCTACCGAAGAAAAATTCAACGCGCACCCAGGTTCAAAAAAGTCCCAGTAAGCTTGTTCAGCTCTGGAGATTTTTTTGTACCTAATTAAATATATTTATTTTTGTTTTCTTTTTTCTTATAGTATTCATAGTTCGTTGAAAAACAACTAAGAACGAGCCTGCAAGATCGCTGAACAAACCTGTTGGTTTTCAATTGAACGTGAATTATTGAATATTAGTAATTTACGATACAAGTGCCATAACCCATAGGAAAAAATCGCGAAATTCCTGCAAGATTTTCTGCAGAAATCCCGCATTCCTGCAAAAATTCTTGCAGGAATTTCGCGATTTTTTGCCTATGGGAAGTAACACTTTTTTTGGCACGGCGTAGTTCAGGACCCGAGCGCAGCGAGGATGATGCGTGAGAGTAAGTGGGATACGAACGCAGCGGTGCCATAAATGTGAACTTATGCCACACCGTGCTGTAAATGATTGAATACCATATCGTCATCCTGGTGCAGAAAAAGTATCTCGTTTGAATTCCTTGAGGCTAAAAGTAGCTAAGTTCCTATCTTATTATCTTATTAACATAGCATGTTAGGACATTTTACTTCAGAAAATGGTCCAGAGTTTATACATTTCTGCTCCGAGGTGACGATATACTTTTACATCTATTTTCTTGACTTGCCTCAGGTAAAATGTCGTCTTAGTTCATGAAATTCTATAATTCTTGAGCCAACCACAGTAGATTTCTTTTTTTTTTTTTTTTTTTTTTTTTTTTAGACGAAGTCGGTATAACAAAGAGTTACTGCCGCTATAACTGGTTATCAATCGAAACTCCCCTTTTTTATCTTCTCATAAAATAACCAACTCTTTTTAATTTTCATCTCTGGTGACGACACACGACTCGACACACGCACACTCGATCCTCGCTACACAAAATACTAATCGCAAAAAACTATCTCTCTCTCTTCCACCCTCGCCCGCAGATTTAAGCATCAAGCACGAGCCGGAGATCAAGACCGAGATGGAATTGCGAAATCGCCTCTCGACCGAATTGTACAACATGAACGGTCGCGCCGGCAGCAGCTCGGCCGGCCTCTACGACGGCCCCGCGTTTCCGCACAACGGCGAGAGCTCCGCGCACCAGCAGGCGGTCGTCCGCAACCTTATCATGTCGGGCGGCGGCAACATCGCCCTCGACGCGAGCGCGGGCCGGCCCTGCAGCCCGTCCGCATGGAACGCCAAGATCAACAAAGCCGGTACCGTCTCCACACCCGAGGGTGAGTACATCTCTTCTTTTTTTTTTTAACATTTTGCACTTGCATCATCATCATCATCATAGTTTCACTTTTATGTATAACAATACGATATATGTGTGAGGGGGTTCATTTTTTGACATTATAACAAATTCATCCATTGCATGCCACAACGGGTAAATACACGTGCTTCTATCTCTCTCTCTCTCTTTCTCTCTCCTGAGATCACTGAGGTTTCATGTATAAACTACACCCATGTATATAAAGAGAGATGGGCGTCAGAAGCTATAAGTCGGAAAAGCCAACTTCGAGCCTATGTAAGAGAGGGGGGTAATCGAGTCGCTTCTATTACATACCCAAGGCGTGAAACGTTATTATCGCGTGTGCTCGGCCTAGTTTCTCTATACGTAATGTGCACCCCAAGTAAATACAACGTACACAATACTCTACTCCTTGCGTATTATAGCGCACCGGCGCAACATATGGATCGAGTTTATTATTCGACCTTTTTCATCCCGCAAGTCGAGGGTTGTGCATTGTTGTTGTTGTTGTTGCTGTTGTTGCCACCTGCAGTAATTGAGATGCCCTTTTCTAAACTTTTTTCTTCCTCAAAATCGCGCATCTTCCACGAGAACATCGATCGTTGTACATTACACACGTGCGATGCACGTATATAGATCGCGGACGCGTGCCCCCACGTGCTGTGCAGCTGTGCGCGCCGCGCCAACGTTCTCACGTCAATTATATGCTGCTATATATTTTACTCGTCATAATTGTCAACGGCAGGTGAATTCGTGTGCTTTCTTGGAACTCCAAAAAAAAAAAAAAAAAAATGAAGATAAAAGATATAGAGCTCGATAAACAATATATGCACTGCCATGAACGCGCGCGCGCGCCCGTGACGTTCAAGTGTGCGCGATAATATAATCGTGACGCAACGGCACCGTAATGTGCAATAAACAGCGAGTCATAGCGATTACACTGGAACTTGATCAACGCATGTAGGTATAGAGGAATTTTGAAAGTAAAGCTGCTCTTTTGAAGCGGAGCCGCGCATTCTAGGCGCAAGCTGCTGCTGCTGTTGTGGCGGCTGCATCATAAGCGACCGTATATACCGTACGATATTGTAGCTCACGAAGACGGCACTTAGAAGCCGCTCAGGTAAAAAAAAAACGTTTTCATAATCGTTTTTTCTTCCTCCATCTATCGCTTTCTTAGAACCAGGGCGCGCCCAATTTCTCTTTTGTCTAGTTGGGTCTAATTATTCACTTTAATATATGCTCATGCACTCGTGTCATCATATATTTATTTTCTCATTCATAATATTGATTCAATGCTCCGACTTGTGTTTTCATGGAACTATCTTCTTGCTGCTGCATGTGGTAACTAGCTGCTGAGATTTATTTTTCGATAAGTGAAAGCGTCGAGATTTGTCTCTTTCTCTCTCTCTTGCTACGATGTAATGGATGTTTTAAAAATTCCATTTCACGACTGATTCATTATTGATTCATGATGCGTATGAACGCCTCTTCGATGCGCGCAATTGACTCGATTGTTCAATTACCTCAAAGTATAATAAAAATCATGTATTTCCCAGTGAATCTCTGATAATTAGACTGCAAATATCGTTAAAATAAATTCAATATTTACTCGACGCGGCAAAAAACAAATTTATAATCATTATATTCAATGTGCAAATATCTTGAGGACAAATTTCTGATAAATTCGGAGCAAAGGCCGTCGATTTTCACTTCGGGCTGCGAAATATCTTCACGGTCGAGCGCGTAAAGGCGCATTACCAGTCCATCTCAAACGGCAAAAAAAAAAGAAAAACTAAAAAAGAAAACAAAAGAAGCGAGTACGTGGCTTTTACGATAGAAAAAAGGGTCGAGCAAAGAGCAACAGCAGCAGCACCGCATCGTCTTTGCAAATTCCTCGTTGCGGAACGGCAGCCTAGCCAAGAGCGCCAAGGTGTATAAGAGAGAAAAGTTATTTACGATAGACGCGCGCGACTTAACTATGACGAGGCGCTCTTTTGGTATTATATGCTCGTGTGCGTGTTATGTACGTGTGTATGCACAAGCCGCGCATCAAAGTCTCCCGGCTGCTGCTGCTGCGGCTCGCTCAAAGACACTCGGAGCGCAAGTTGCATATAGTCGGCAAAGCGTGAGGAGAGAAAGTACATAGACGGCGGCGAAGGTGTTATGTCGGGGATACACGTAGCCTAGAGAAAAAAAAGCTTTCCACGTGTATATACGTTACTATTATGTATACACGTAAGGTGGGCGCACAAAGACAAACGCTAAACTGCAAGGTAAACGGAGCGTCGCGCGGCTAAGCCAAACCACCCCCCGGTTGCATATAGAGAAGCATCGCCGCGTCGTCGTTTCTTGTGCATTAGCTGGCTTATATATAGCCGGAGACACCTGCCGAAAGCATCGCCATCCGCCCGCGCGTATTCAAGCTTCGTTGGTCAAAATGACGACGACGTGTGCAAGCTTGACAAGATTACGGCCGAGCCGTATATGTTTAAGGGTACAAAGGCGGATCTCTGTCCACACTTACGTCGTCGTCGACGCTGGTCAACTTTATCTTCTTTCTTTTTTTTTTTCGGCAGTTTAAGGCTGCTGCAACTTCGTACATAGCGCTTCTCGCTCGACTGGCCCCGTGCACGTCGTCCTACGTGCGGTCGTATACGTTTACGTGCTCCTCGATGCGTGACTCGCAAAAGCTGCAGCTAGCTATAGTAGCCCGATAATCGCAAGCGTGTGTCTTTTTTTTTCTATTCTTTCTTACGGTTCGACGTTGCAATGGTTCACGCGATTTTACAAGGTATACATGTACGCGATTCGCAATTAGTCCGCTTACCGCTGCTCGGTCTATCGTGCCGTGAAATATTTAAGAAAGCGGAGAGAATTGCGCCGACAAAAAGTTGCAAGTTCGCGTTTTATTGTAATACGCTATGCGCGCGCGCGCGATATACTTTTGCACCGCCGCGAAGCATGCAATTACCCTTGGCTCGTCGAGTCTCGTGGGAGGGACCACCACCACCATCAGCGCACTTCTACGCTCTTCGTCTTTTCGCCGTGAGTATCTTTCGTGTATACGCTGCTGCTGCGTAGTAGTAGTCGACAAACTCGAAGAAAACTTTTATTTTCTCCTTCCTCCCGTGCTTTTACCGTCGCGCGTGCGGGGACAAAGAGACTCGCTCATATATTTTGTACTTTTAATTGTTTATCTTGCGTCGAACTTTTTAGCTGCAGCGAAATTACGTGCGGAGAATTATGAGCTTGCATCACTGTCGTCATCGTCGTCGTTGTTCGTCGCTCGGTTGTTCGTCGTAGAGGTTTTTCGGGGGAGAAAATTACGAAACGTGCATGGCGCGCCGTAATGAATACAGATGATGATGATAATAATAATAATAATAATAAAATGCGAACGTCAGTAGCAGTAGCGGTGATGGTTAACGCGAGCAGAATAGTAATATATAGATATGTAAAGGGAAACGCGATGAAGAAATCGAAACGATTTTTGTTTTTTATTTTATATTTTTTACTTTATGTACGATCGGGGGAGAGTAGCCGCCGCTACGTAGCTGTTGCTGTTTCTGTTTGCAAGAAGCCCATAGAGTTGCATATACGTGCGCGCAAAGGCTATAAATACAGCAATTGAGACGAAACGATATAATAACGCTATATCTAAGTGAATGAATCAATCTGTTGAAATAACGCTTAAATGTGTGTGTGTGTGCGCGCATATAATGTAAAGGGGCACGAAGAAAGATATTGTACATGCGCAGCGCAGCAGCAGCAGCAGCATCAACAGTCCACAACAGCCGATGCGCTTATATATTTTCTAGCTCCCCGATGTATTTATATATCTGTATATTGGCGCACTAAGCTCGAGAGTTGCGAACCTCTTCTCCTTCTTTTTTCTTCTTTTTATTTCGTATACTTGCTTCGTCTTCTTCTTCTTCTTTTTCTCCTTCCTATATGACCGTATAAATAGGTCACGGACGAATTTAATCTTTTCGGGCGCATCGCGCGCGTGTATAATATACTACTACGTCGGAGCGATATATAGAGCGAGAGAGAGATACGAGCAGAGCACTCGAGGAAGCAGCAGCAGCAACAGCAGCATAGCAAAAAAAAAGACAGTCAATCTGCCCGTAATGCGCGTACAGTAGTATATAGTCGTATAGCATCTATAATATTTCTTCTCTCTCCCATATCTCTCTCTCTCTCGTATTTGGCGCGGGTGGCGGCGGGCTGCTGCTGCTGCTACTTTTCTCTGCTCGCGTGTGCAGATGTTAGGCGGGCAGCGGCAGCAACGATTTTATAGTAGTACAGCTAGCAGCACTTTTACGACGAAAATAGAGCCTATGTGTGTACGAGAGACAGAGATGGATGGAAGAGTAGCAGTAGAGGAACCCTTTTTGGGTTTTTGCGTCGTGACTTTTATATACTCCATAAATACGTTATATATGGATACGTGGCCATTCGACGACTGCGCGCTGCACGCAGACACAGAACACACGGTACACACACACACACACATGCATACAAGCAGGCGCGCGCTTTTGGCTTATCGTATTGACTTATCAAGCTATTATGTTCAGTCTCTTTCATTATGATTGTTATTATTGCACGACTACGATGACGACGACGACGACGACGAGGTGTAGTAGCGTACAGCTGGCGAACGCGGCCAGGCTCTAATGCAATATACTTACATATCTATCGCGCACGCATTTATATAATATATACCTACACTCGCGTATAATAAAAGAACAATTAATTAGCCGTGAGTGTGCGTGTGCGGGTATACGCGATGAGTATTTCGTACTTTTTTTTTTGTTATTTCATTTTACTTTATCCAAGAAGTCGACCCCCGCACACGGGAGAGAAAAATCTTGGCTAATCGAATCGTCGCACTTTACCCCTTTTTATAAAAGTGACACATACCACCCCTACCCCTGCCGTAGAGAGCCGGCCGGTCGAGAGCTTGCACAGGCGCGCGCGAGTGTGTGTAAGCTTTTACGCACACATACAGGCACGCGCATCGTCATTGTATTATAACTCCCCACTTCCGTGGCGAGAGAGAGAGAGAGAGAGAAAGCAAAGCAAAAAGAAAAAAATCGAATTAGGCGAGGTAGCGCAGCGCCAGTCCGATAACGCATATGATGTTATATCGGATAGCGTAGGTATCTAGGCAACGAGGACCGGAAGCTCTCTCTCTCTCTCTCGCTCTTTTCTGTCTTGCGCGGCACGCAAAACATGGTCAGAAAAAAGGAGCGAAAGAGAGAGAGAGAGAGAGCCCAGGGCCGAGCGTCCGTGTACGTGCATACGTGAACGTGAAAAATAAAGAGAAAAAGCAAGTCTCTATATACTGAAAGCTCTCCCTTCCCATGTGTGGCGCGCGCGCGCGTTAACTCTCGCATCGCAGCAGCAGCAGCGGCAGGAGCCAGGAGCTAGGAATTTCCGAGCTTTTCCGAGCTATAAAACCAGCAATGCAGCAGCAGCAGAATATCTAGCTTTATGGCGAACTTGACGCGATTCGTCGTTCGGGTGCATCGGCGGCAATCATCCAACCTCTCCGATCCCGAGGCCTGCTTTTTTTTTTTTAATCTTTATTCTCTCTGTCGTCGAGAGATTTCTAGCGTAGAGGGGAGACCAAGTCCTCGCGGAGAACTTTTTTTTTTTTCGTTTACTCTCGTCATCGTGCAAAAATGTTTGTACTCGTTAGAAAAAAAAAGCTGGCGCATGATTTCGACGGAGTGTAAATTTTCATTAAATCAAGCGATTCTCCGGCTGTTTCTCTCTCGCTCTCTCTAAGCTGAATTTCCCTTTTCCGCAGGCTCTGCGTAGTAGTATACGCGCGCGATAGGGACTTTTGGAGGAAAAATCCGCAGCGCGTTTCTCTCTCTCTCTCTCTCTGCCCCTGCGAGCGAGAGCTAGCCGTTTCTCGCACACAGACACGCACGTACATATCCCCCCACGTCGTGCGGGGGCGTAATTAAAATGAATGCATTCGCCGGGTGTTTTTCCTTGCCCATGGCAGTACGCACACACACGTATACGCGTAGAGCAGCTTCGAGCCCTGCTTACTTTGTATGTAGGTATATATATCTGCGCCCACGCATTATTATACCATAGTCATCCCGGTAGTATGTAGGTAGGAAGTGGATATAGTCAGCGGCAGCAGCTACGCGCGTGACGTTCATCTCTCGAGCTTTGAATTTTTCCGCGTGCATCGGCGGCTATGCGGCAACAGCAGCAGCAGCAGCAGCATAGGCAGTCAGGCAGTCAGGCGGGGTTGCCTTCCCTGTATGTTCCACACCCTCCCTCCATCCTCTCTCTCACTCTCTCTCTTGTCTTTCTTTCTTTCTCTCTTTCGTTCGCTCGTTCGTACACATAACGTTATACGCGCTCACGCAGCGGCAGCAGCAGCAGCATACAGCGCAGCTAGCAGCGCACGGTGGTGGTATATACATTCGCTCGCGCTCTCTTTTTTTTTTTGGCCAGACGCAGCACACGCACGCACCCCCGCTTTCGTTGTCAGTATTGATCGCGAGCGAGCCTAGCCTCTCTCTCTCTCGCTTGCTCTCTTATACTTTCCGATATGTGCCCGGACACACTTTTCTATCTCTCTCTCTCACTCCCTCTTCTCTCTCTCTCTCTCTCTTTTCTGTCTATCCGTTCTCTCTTTTGCGCGCGCGCCTAAGCCGAATTAAGCCTCGCACTGCGAGTTTTCGCAGCGTTGCATGTGAGCGTGTGTGAGGCTCTCGCCGCCCATATAGCGTATGCGCTTGCTTCGGTGTACGTGTACGTGTGCGCGCGCGTACGCCGGAGGCAGCGGCAGCAGCAGCAGCCCAGCGTGATATACCGTCTGTAATATTCTGCGATTTACAGGGGCTTTTTAATTTTCGAGCTTTTCCTGACCGTCTCTCTCTCTCTCTCTCTCTCCCCTTACTGACGAGCGGCAGCAACCCTTTTTCCTCGCATGCTTTGGCCGAGGCAGCAGCAGCAGCAGCAGCGCCGGGCGTATATATTTTTTAGCCGCGCCAACGGAGAGAGGCCGGCTTGCTCTTGATGCCTGCTGCCGCTGCTGGTGTGTATATGTACGTATGCGCGCACACGCGAGCTTGTATCGTGCTTTTAGCGTATTTTTACGTACGTGTGTGTATCATACGCTGCTCGTGCGTTGCGCCATGGTGATTAAAGTTTTGAATAATTAATTTGGATGATTTTGCCACTGAGATTGTGCCCGTCGTCTACGCACACATAAATACGATCTATACGCGCGGTTCTTTCGTTCGTTAAGGGATTCTCGCTCGGCCATTATACACACACACGCGCGCGCGCACGAGTTATAAGTCGGAGTGCCGAACGGGGTGTAGGTACGCACGAGTCTGCATTGCGTGCTCGCTCGAGCCGCGGCATTTTTTCGCCTTGATTTATGCGTCATTGCGTTTCTCCTCTCGGAGATGTTATCCAGCGCGCATATTTTCAAATTCTACGAGAAACTAAATTTCGAGCCTCGACGAATAATGCACGACACGGGCAAAATTAATTTCGGACGCGATGAATGCGTATGTCTACGAAAAATTTGGGGACAGGGGGTGGTGCTGGTGCTGGTGCGCGATCGCGTCTCGTGTTGCGAACAATTTTTTCGCCGTCGATGATCGTTGGATGACGATAATTAGCGAGCATCCCTTGCAGCGCACACAAACGCGCGTTCGAAGAAACGATCCTAATGGACTATGAGAGAGAGAAAGAAGGTCGGCGTAAATCTATCGTGTTTCGTATACGTAAAAGCTCGACGCAGGCAGGCACGGGCGAATCTTGCAACAATTATCTACACGCATGCTGTATATTATTACCGTTATAATATACGCAGCCGGGGCATATGTGCAAATGCGATTAGGAAACGCAACTTAACCTCGATAATGTACAGGCCGAAAATTACTCGACACATTCTCCTTAATTATTCAATAAAAACTTCGCCCCTCTTGAACGCGGACCAAGAGAGAGAGAGAGAGAGAGAGAGAGGCCAAGAAAATTATACGCGTCCAAAAATATACTGTTGTTGTTCGAACGACGTTATATTACCTTTTATATACACGGAGAAAGAGAGAGAGAGAGACCCACTCACCCCCGCGAGCGCAATCAGTTGGATGAAATATATTCCCTCCTTTTGTGCATTTTTTGCACACAACTTGTAATAATTCGTGCACGAGCATAATTACAATGTATATTAATACACATCGAGTATTTACGTGTTTACGACGCGACGAATTTATGGTAGGCCCCACACCCCACCCCCCTCGTTAATGTATATTTCGCCTTGGTTGGTCGGTGCGCGCATATTGCCGTGCACGCACCGTTGCAGTATACATGTTAGTTCGACTGCTTGGCCCGAAATTTCTTTCGGTCAAAACGAGCCTTATGTTATATATTTTGCTGTGCCTCGTAATCTTTCCAAGATTCAACGAGCGATTATTTACTTTTTACGACGAAATTTATAGCCGCTAGTACACTTGCTGGTTTGCAGGAGCCAAACGTAAATATGCATTAGGCGGCATCGCGTGTTACGCGTGCTGCTAAAATGCTCTACATTTTTTGTATATAACAAAATTCTGATGTTTGTGATGTCAGTGTCTCCATGTGAATGTCTCATACATGAATATAAGTTTTGTGTCAGTAACAGCAACGACGTTTTTATCAATTTTTTTTTTTTGGTTGTTATTGTTGTTTTTTTATAGAAGGTTCATTGTACGACTTGTTGTCCACGCTTCGTGCGTGGCAACATTTTGCACTTTGGATATAATAATATCAACGCGCTCACTCGGTTAAAAAAAAAAAAAATGCGCGTGCGTCCCTGACGATTACGATTGATCGAATTTTTTTCTTTTTTTTTATAAAATTATTTTTTTAATTATAATTATTATTAAATAAAATAAATGAAGAAAATAAATGAAGAAATCATTAAATAAATTAAATAAAGAAAAAAAATCATTAAAACGTGCGTCACTTTGTATTGTAAAAACCGTGATAAAAATCTCTGAACGGCATATGAAATTTATTTTGCAGGCCGATCGAAAGCACAAGCACTTTTTACGTCTTCCGCAATAGCAGCAGCAGTAGCAGCAGCAGAAGAAGCAACGGCAGAGACAGGCGAAAGTACGCAAAAAATAATAATATTAAACTTTAGGAAATTTAAACAAAAAAAGACAATAGCATAGTTACACGAGGTATGAGCGTGAATGTGTGGTTTGTGTGGGATCTTTTTCGTTCAAATGTCCAACCAAGTGTCATCTCGACTATGGAGTCTTCAGTCATCGTCGCCATCGTCGTGGGGCTGGATTCAACGCATCGTCGTTTTTTTAAAATTACAAAACTGGGATCGATATGGGGGCAACAGCATTATATTTTCATATTAGTAGTTGTCGCATAAACGATTTTCCAATCTATCGTACGAGACTAAATTAATTTCACGGATTACTCCCTTTAAATATTGAACTCGAGTATATTTACGGTAATACGCAATCGAATTCGTTGCGCGATCGACGCGCGGCCCGTACTCGGTTTCGCGACCCTTTGGCTTATTTTTTGACATTTTTTTTTTCACTAGCCATTGGCCCTTAAACGTGCATACACATTGAAAATAAAATGTACATTACGATCTATACGCTTAAATGTAGCCAAAGCCCCGGGTTCGGATGGAATCTCGCGAGTGAATGAAATTAAATGCTTTTTACCATCCCCCTCCCGCTTATATATAGACTGTACACTGCAGAAGCAGCAGCAGAGTAGGCCCTTTAATATACTTCTTCTATTCTCTCTCTCTCTCTATCAAAACCATGGGCTGCGCACTCGTGGTCCTGTGTGACTGTGTGTGTGTGTGTGTGTGTTTTTGCATCGCTTTTTTTTACCCTCGCAATGCTTGGCTGTTTTTTTTCCTTCATCTTGGTTTAATTCGTTCTTGCATTTAATATACAAATATCTATATGTACGTTACGCTGATACGCGCTGCGTCTATAGACACACGGAATTAAACGGCTTTTGGGTGCCGCCGCCCCCGTGGCCTCGGTATAACTGCACGCGAATGCGCTCCGCGAAAGCGTACGGTATTATACACGCGAAAATATGAATAGGACGAGTATAAGGGTAAAGTCCCCATATCTATATACGCGTGTTTGTATTATTTTTTCCTTTTTTTTGCGCGTGCACACACACCGAGAATTGCATTAGTGATGAGTGCAACGAGCGGGACGAAACTCTCCCACCCCCGCATAAATGTAAAGGCTAAAAAGCTCGAATGCGATTTGTACCGCGTCGAGTCGCGACTCTTACACATACGGACTTTCCGCCTCGACTACACACGTACACACGTATGAAGTCGGTACGCCTATTGTTTGCACTCGTGTAATTCAAGTTTGATCCGCTGATAGCCGAGAGAAAGAGAGAAAGAGCGAGAGAGAGAGAGTCACACCGAGCTTTCGTGCGGTGTACTACTACGCGTATTCAGCGCCGTGTACTTGTATTATATACGCCGTGAACTTTTTTAATCAAGCTCGACAAGAGAGATGTGTACAAGTACATATACGCGCGGGGCACAGGGCTAGCTGCCATATTACGCACATACATAGACATAAAAATACATTCGTCGAGTACGCGTACTCGCGAGCTCGTTCTTTCTTTCCTTTACTTCATCTTTCTTTCCTTTTTTTTTTTTCAATTACGCGTAAGTGAAAACGACACTTTTCTTTTTCGGGGGTCGCGGGGCGACGGCAAAGGATATATCCCAATCCAACGCGTCGAGCTCGAGTTTTTTCGCGATAGATACGTCTGCGTAGTTTTTCTCTCTCTCTCTCTCTCTCTCTGCCGGCCGCACTCGTGGCACTTCTATGGCACAGTCGACGATCGACGATGAGTCATTCTCGATTCTTAAATTATGCGACTTGCGCGACCTTGTATTGCATGGCACACACGGCGACGGCTCCCGTGTTGTTGAGCTCGTGCGTGTATACATGTGTTGCGTCAGATATGGTTCGACTCGCATACACACACACTCGCCGATCACGCAAAAATACGCGTGCTTGCACGCGGCGGGGCCATCTTATCGAAAATCGTGTGTGTATAATATTCACACCGCGGTGGATGTGTGTATTATATATTTAGCGCCGCGACGATGGAGTAATAATACATTATATCCCCCCTGCTTGGTATAACGACCAATGTCGTACGCGAGTATTTTTCTGCACGTTCAAACGCGTCAAATTCATTGTTAAAAAAAGCGCGTAATCAAATTATAGCTGCCTTAGTAAATAGAACGTTTGATTTTCGATTTTATAACGTAAATAATAATACCAAACGAGTTAAAATCATTTCGTCGTCGTCCGATCATCGTAAAACTTCTCTAGCTGCGGCGCTCTCGAAGCTATTTTGCGTGCCAGGCAGGAAGGGGACAAAGGTCCAAGAGAGTAGCAGCAGCGCGGAATCGAGCTGCTGCTGCGCTGCCATGAAAATGCTGCAGCACACGGCAGAGGCAAAAAAAAAGAGAGAATTGCGATTCTTCTCCTCCTCGCAAAAGAGAGAGAGAGAGAGAGAGAGAGAGAGAGAGAGAGAGAGAGAGAGAAGTCCCCCCTTTTTTCCGCGCCGGGTTGGTCGGTGCCTTCATTAAAGCTCTCGCTGCGTACACACGCACACACACGTACGAAGCTCCCCCATCGGAGCGCTTTTCCAATCATGCTATCCCTCGAGCGCGAAAAACTCCTCTCTCTCTCTCTTTCTCTCAGCTCCTCATCTCGATTACAAGCCCCTCTGCGTTTGGTTATATTTCCCCTTCGTAGCAGCAGCAGCAGCAGCAGCGAAATCAGGGGGGTTGGTGGCGTCGTTGCAAGTGCGCGCCTTGTGGCTCTACTCTCTATACACGCACAATATATACCTATGTATACATGCAGGCAGGCAGGCAGCAGCAGCATTTTAGTAGTGAGTGCGTGAGTTGCGTCCGGCATCATCATCAGTAGCAGCAGCAGCAGCAATGCGCCGAGCTTTTAGACGCTGTCGCGAGGTCGCGCCACCTGCCAGGATGCAAGCGCACTCTTATCTCGCTTTTTTTTGCTGCCGCCATGCGTATATGGTATGGACTGCTGCCGACCGTCCAGGCGCGCTCGCTCGCTCGTTCGCTTGCTGCTCGCAATCAATACGAAAATTTAATAAACGAGGAGCAACGAGCGAGCGAGCGAGCGAGCCAAAGAGAATGAGACTAGTATATAGGAGAAGTACAAAAGAGAGAAATAAAGAAAAGCCGATGTAGAGTAAAATAAAAAAAATACGCAGCAGCAGCGGCGACGGCAGGCAGTTCGATCGTTGCAGAGGGAGGAAATTGATAATACCGCTGATGCCGCCGCCGCTGCATAGGTAGAGACCGGAAAACGAGAGATGGCTAGAGAGCAGCTCAGCACGACGTGTGCGTGCGTTAAGCTCTTTGCGTTTATTATAACGAATCGATATCCGCGCATGCACATTCATATAGGTAGACGAGGCAAATGACGTTTGAAAGACGAAGAAAAAAAATATCCTCTACGTGCGCCATTGCAGCTCTCTCTCTCTCTCTTTTTTTTTCTCGTTCTTCTCTCTTTTCTTTCTCTTACTCTCTCTCTCTCTACCGGCCATTGGGCGCTTGCAGCAATTTCGCGAGGATAAATTCGATATACTTCAAATTTATCTGCGCTCGCCTCGTACGTATATGTATGCGGGCGCATGAGTTGGCAGTACCTATACACATACAGTAGCAACTTTTACGGCTATCTGCAAAAAGTCACGATGTTTGCGTATACGGCACGCACGAAGGGCAGCGCAGAGGACGTTGGGGCTAGCTAGCTAGGAGCTATATATAGCCTCTGCCACTGCGCTCTCTCTCTCTCTGCAAATTTTTCGGGTATAGATAAGACAGGCCTGTTGGGATCGATTTTCCGAAGGGTTGGCCAGGAGCTGCTGCGCCACCGCTGCCACCCCCGCTGCTGCTGCTGCCTATATAGCTTTTTAGCCCCGTGTGCGTTCGTATACTGCCACACTGCTGCTGCTGCTACATACTGATGGGGTACGTGTGTACGCAGGCAGTTTTAGGGGGAGTCGGAGCATTTGTATGCGTGCGCCACAAGGACGAAGTAGTAGACTGCGCGTGTGGGTGTATGCGGCATCCAAGTCGATGATTGTATGTGGCTTAAAAAAAAAAAAAAAAAGAATTGCGGCCGACCGATGACGCCTGTCGCTGATTCTGCCGGAAACACGAGACGATCTTTGATTGGTTCTCGCGCGCTTTTCGCTCTTTGCTTTGCTTTCCTATGGGTTTCAATTACATACACATACGTATACGCGCCACTGACTACTCGTCATTTAAAACTGATATCTCGAGTTTGCTGTGCCGGTAAAGCACCCCCTCGAATCAATACACTCGTATGATACGATATAATGACATTTGTGGCCTGCGCGCGAATTCCAGTCGTCGTTGTTGGTATTTAGTTTTCGAATCATTGTCTTAATCAAGAGAGTGAGAATCGTGGTCCGAAAATCACGCGTAGAACGTGTACAAAGGTCCTTGAACGTGGCAAAAGTGCACAATGACTCGACAGAGATACGAGAGCAGAGCTACCCTTGATACGAATATATACCCTATACTCGAGGCGAGAAAAAAAAAAGGAAAGAGAGAGTATAAAAATATCAGCTGCTACAGTGGCAAGAAAAGTAGAGTCTCGTGTTATGGTTTATAGAGAAAGAGAGAGAGAGACAGAGAGAATCCGTGTCCCACTTGTCTTATGCGACACTTGTTTGCCTCTCTTACTCGACTCATAATGCCTCGTGAAAAAGCTCGCGAACACATTATATATCTATACGTTCGCGAGGATGTATTATTATATCTATATACGTACGAAAGAGAGTGAACGAGCGCAGTTTTATACTTTCTCTCTTTCTCCTCGATCGTGTGCCCGTCGTCGTCGTTTTCTCAGACGCGCCGTAAGAAAGAAAGAAAGAAAGATAAGCTCCGAGAGACTTGGCGAATAAGAAGAAGAACGAAAGCGAAAGCCATAAGGAGGGATGGAGGGTTGGGGAGGTGGCCGTGAGGTGCTCCGTGCTCCACTATATAGCTGCATACAGCGGGATCGATTTTCCAGGAAACTGCTCGCCTTCGCCAACCACCACCACCACCGCCACCATCGGCTCACCGACACGGGGGAGAAACTCGCGCGCCTGCAATACAGATATATACGCATCCTTACGTAGTACAGCTCTTCGAGACTTGCTCGGATTTCTCTCTCTCTCTTTCTCTTTCTACCTCCTTCGCCCGTTTCTCGCTTCTGCAGAGAGAGAGAGAGAGAGAAGATCCCTCCTTACATGGTATATAGTATATAGCAGTTGGCTTTTTGGGCGCCACCACCCGGCGATTTCGAAATAGGTCAAGGCTGCCGACGACGACGACGACTTGCGGGTGCACGAAAGGGAGTAGGTGCGTGTGTTGTGTTTCGCGTCGGGTGGCGGTGGCGGCGTCAGCGAAATTGGCGCGCGCCGCCGTTTATATATCACGAGATCTCCTCCTTATATACATCGTCGTGTCTTTCTACGCCTCTGTATAGATGTAGCGCAGCCTCGTGTTCTCTATACGCCTCTCGTGCGCGGCCGTTTGTTTGTTGTGCCAATCTTACGTAAACGTAATATATAGTAGTACGCATGAATCTTGACTCGGGGGTGGCAAGTACAGTCACTGGAGTATATCGGACATTTTCTCGACTTTTCTTATTTAGGCTGCTGCGCCCCGTGCACAAAAGGGCGTGGACACCGAGAGAGAGAGGGAGAGAGCGCAAGGGATTTCCCTGAAAATACGTGATACACGCGTTTACGACGTTCTATTTACTTTTTCTCTCGGCCATGATGTGTTTTAGAATCATCGATCGAGCGCTATTCGGAATAACTTTCGATCGTTATAATCACGTTTTCCAATGCAATCGTGGTGCGCAGTGTCGAAACGCGTAATATACGTATATCTCCGAGTTATTGGGAATTATTTCGAAACGCCTTTTTTTCTTTTCTCTCTTTCTCTTCGTACGATTCGTTTCTTTGGTCAATGGCCTTTTTTCGTTTGCGCAACCTTGCACCGCACATTATACCGAGAGTCATCATCGCATACGAGAAAAAAAAAAATCTCGGCCGGCCTTGAAATTTACGACGTTGCGCAACAATGACATTCACGTACTTATACATACGCGTATACACACACAAATATCGTTTGAAGGAGTCATTAACTTCGGGCCAGCGGCATATCCTCCGCGTATAACGTATCTTTATGTGCCGCGCGTATAGTTAGTTCAAGACAATCGCTTAAATACGGTTACACATAGAACGACACAATTGCTGCCGCAACGTCATTAACCTCGAGAGAGGACTAGCTGCAAACAGCAGTTTTCTCCTGTGTACACATAAATGCTCCGAAGATAAGGCGTTGGGAAGCTCGTACATGTATATCGTATATATAATATATAAAGTGCGCACGGGCGCGACAACAAGTGTTCGCGATTCATCTTACGCGAGAATTCACAGCTGAGCTAAAAGGGAAAAAGAAGCAAGAAGAAGTATGTAGTTAGGAGGAGGATGAGAGATGTATACACAGAGAGACGAGATGAGATGAGAATAGAGAGAGAGAGAGAGAGAAGGAAAAAGGGTCAGGATGGGATGTGTATCGGGTCCAAGGAGTCAAGCCAGGCAGGCAGGCGCGTCAGTCGATGTATAGGGAGTTTTTGCGGGCGCGCGCGCGTATCGTGTTTCGAGAAAGCCAAGAGCTGGCCTATAGGCTAGCTTCATCGTATATAGAACCGCATGGCCTCCATAATGTATCGAGGATCTCTCTTCCCTCATTCACTATGTTGTTTGCTTATATGGACGAGGCTTGCATATATACACTTAAGGTTTGACCCATGCAGCAGCAGCTCCTTGTCCCTCTCGTCGATCGGTTTCTCCGTTTCAACCTTGACGTTTTCCCCTTTTGTGCTCGTCATTATGATTATTATTTTTGTCATACGCCCGCAGCTGTACTATCGATCTTTTAGCGGTGCGCTCGCGATGACTATGTTGTATATAAATGAATGTATCGATCCGAAAACTCTTTCCCTCGTCGTAAGCGTATATTATAAGGGTAAAGATTTTTTTTTTTGGTTTAATGACATTATCGAACCAGCTTTCTATCTATATCGCTTCAAATCATTCACGGATCTACGGTCATTTCTCTCGAGCTCTCACCGCATGCATAGTAATATTATTACGCGATCGGGGCACGACATAGGATATTAATTTCTCCATCATCGGGGATTAGCGGCGAACACGACTCACGAAATGTGTGTCCTGCTGCTGCTGCACGCCACGATGTATCGACTTTCCTTGTTTTTATCCTGTATTATTAATACCATACGGAAACATCGGTGCGAGCAACAACACGGTGATGACGATCGACAAGGCGCACCTGCGCCGCGTGCAGCACACGCACAACCGCAGCGACCAACCCTCCCCCGCGCCGAATTCGAGCCGCAGTTCTGGTTCCTTTTTTTCTCTCTCTCTCTTCATATTTAATACACCGAAAGGCGAGTTGTATAACATAATAATTAATGCGCCACGTCGCATAAAATGTGTGCCTGTGTGTATGTGTGTGTATGCGTGCCCTGCGCCCAATAACGCCGACGAGCATCTGTTCTCTCGCTCTCTCTCTCTCTCTCTCTCTCTCTGGTGTGTGCAACACGTAGTATATTTATAACAAACATTACGACGCCGAATCTCTTCGGCCCCGAACTGGGTCTCTTTTTTCAGCCCATAAAGTCGATTGCGAAACAGCGGGATTTTTGCGCGCGCACTGCCCCTTTCGTTTTTTTCTTCTGCTACGTTATAAGCTATATGGTAGAAAAATTCTCCTCTGGCATAAAAAAAAAAATCAGTAAAAGCAACAGCGACTTGGTCGTCGTCGTCGTCGTTTCTTTCCTTCGCTTCCTTTCCATTAGTCATTCGTATGGATAGTTGCACACACATACGCGGGTTTTTTTTCCACTTCTTTGTTTCGAAACCGCTTGTGCGCGCGCGTGCACAAATAGATTCCTCGAGCTTTCGCTCTTTGTCTATAATAGAGAAACGTGCTGCACGCGCCGCCTCTGTGCCATGTGTGTGTGTGTTTAATATACACACTCAGACACACGAAATTTTTACGCGCAGTCAGCTGCTTTTGCTGTGTGCCTATGTGTGTATGTGTGTTTCCGAGTATTATTATTGCGCGCGACTCCCCCATAGAGTTTCGTTGTTTTCGAGTGCAAATACCCATGAGCTCGACAACAATTAGACCGCCTCGTGCTGCTGCTTGATTTCCTTATAGCATAATAATGCCTGCGCTATACCTTTGCAGAGTGTGTATGGCTTTTGATGTTTCGGCGCGCGCCAGCGCACATGCAAATGCAGCCGATGACGACAATTAGCGTTGTTTCTTTTCATCCCATTTTCGAGTTTTTTTTCTTCTGTTTTTTTTCTGATTCCGCTTGCATACCGTATACAATAGTTTGTCATTACGGGCGGCGTCAAGGATTTCATCGCGTATGCAGAAGATATCGCGATTATCACACTTCCTCGTCGCGACCTTTTTTTCTTTCTGTTTTTCGTCTTTTATCTTGGTTTCTCGAAAAAAGAAATAAAAAAAAAACAACGACTCGAAATGATCGTAAACGCGTGACGATATTTGGGGGGGCCGAAAATTATGCTGTTTTTCGAATGTGTTTATGGAGCTTGTGCGCTGCCGTGACGTTACAATATTTTTTCTTCACTCGCAATGAAAATGTATAGCATGTACTTGCAGGATAGAAATTCCGGATGATTACATAACTTTGTTATTTCATGATTCTTTTTTTACCTGGGGGGGAAGCTTCTAATGAGTTCCAAAGATGGTCCGTGAGAAATTGTCTATGCCGCACATTGCATTGATTCATTCAAATGATGAGAAATATTATGATACAGAGAAGTCATAACTCTCAATGCTGTTAAAAAAATGAATGTCAGTTTTCACGTATACATAAGAATGACCACCGCCGCAGTGATCAATATGCCTCCCGAGAGTCTGCTTTTCACTCTAATACCTATAATAGTTCAATGCCATATACGGCCAGACGTGTCTCTGAGGATGAAACATTAGAAATCTGTGCTTATGCTTAATTGCAATTCGATTCGTTCGGGCATACGATTCACGTTTTTAACATTCGTTTGCATTTTTAAGATATTAAAAAACTTCAATGAAATTTCAATATGATAATTGGATGTTAATCTTCCACCGCTGGAATACCTCAGACACAAATCTGATTTCAAATGACATGACGGGCGCCGTAGACTTTTTTTAAGGATTACCGGTTGTAATTAATTCAAAGCTCCTCGCAAATGCGAAGTTACACTTGCGATGATGCTGGTTAGCCGAATAAAAAAGTGACATTGCATCAATTAATAATGCGAGGTTACTGACTCGCTCATATTATAATACATTTTTATAAATCTCAGCTAGCTTAGTCATTAATACATTCAACGCTCTACTATCTAGTTTCTTTGCTCTCTCTGTCTAAAGGTATTAAATGAATGAGTCATTTTTTTCTAATGCTTTTGATTTTATACGAAGAAAAACGATATGGGCGATACATTTTTTTTCCTCTATGAACTGCTTTATGGGTAATTTTCGGAACGTCCGCGAAGTCATAATGCTCTGTAATTTTATAAAAGAACCATATTCACGAAGGTGAAAAAACCCACCATCCTCGTAAACAAGTTCGATAGAGCTTGTCAAAGGGATTTAAAAAAAAAATCATAAAACAAAAATTCTATGCACGTTCTCTTCGAGCATCATTTACTAATCCTCTTTGTTTTTTCTCCTCGCAGGAAAGAAACTCAAGTGCCCGTTCTGCGAGAGGCTCTACGGCTACGAGACGAATCTACGAGCCCACGTGCGACAGCGCCACCAAGGTATCAGAGTGCCCTGTCCGCACTGCGATCGCACGTTCACGCGGCGCAACACCGTGCGGCGTCACATAGCGCGCGAGCACAAGAACACCGTGAACCAGCCGATCCCGTCGCCCGACAAGGACCCCAACTCCAGACAGGGTGGCAGCCGCGGCGGAGGCTCGAGAGCCCAGTAGCTAGAGGTGGCCGCGGCAGCACAGCGATCACCCAGCAGCGATAATAGTCCACCCATAGGGCGGCATCGTCGTCAACGATCCCACAGCCCCGTCGCTGTCGTCGACCATTGCCAGCTGAGCAATGGCGACGGCAGTGCCTCGTGCAGCAGCGTCAACAGCGCCAGCGCCGATGGCGGCGGTGGCGGCGGCTTCAACAGCGTCATAAGCTGCTACGTAAACAGGTATCAGCGAGAGGACGACGCCTCGAGTGGACTGACGGCGACGACGACGACGACGACGACCCCCTTTAGCTCTAAGACCTTGAAATCATGACTACTACCGACCTCTCCAATTGCTTCGTATCCCCTAGTAGTAGTGGAAGCAGCATCGGCTGCAGCTGCAGCGGCTACAACACCGGCAGGAGCAGCAGCAACTACAAGAATCAAGAGCTCTCGCCGCCGATTGGGCTTGTTCGCCAACACCGCGAGGACGATGAAGGTGCCCGGTGCCCGGTCTGCGAGATAATTCAATGAACACAAGTACTATTCACAAAGCTAGTCAATGAAAATGTGCAAATGACCAGCCGAGAATCCATCGTTCGCACGAGCTCCACAGGCGGACACACACAAACGATGACCAAGAACGCGGAATACGCGTTGCAGAGCCTAGTCGTGTTTACATAGGCGCAGCAGCCGCTAGTTCTCGAGCGATGGATTGAGAAAAAAAAAGGATTAAATAAATGAATAAAAACGTTGACAATGGTTTAAGGACGGTATAATCGTGATTACGCGTAGCTTATTACAGATCGATAAATGATGATTAAATTATGTTTATAATGAACCACAGCAAATTATGATAGAAATTATGATACAAATTATGTTTATAAATGAAAAAAGCAGTGAATGCGACTTAAAAAATTATGCATAGTAATGTCTATGCAGGCTGCACGAGAGTCTGCATACTACTAGATAATGGCACGCTTTGTCGTTGCATTGAAAGAGATGAATTGATAGTGTGCTTGGGATAATGAATGAATGAATGGGTGTGTGCTGATCATAATTAATAGTGTTTATGATGATTACAACTGTGTTGTGCATTTTAACGAAAAAAAAAAGTAATTAACAGAGTATGTGATATAACGTTATTTATGCAGATTTAAAAAAAAAGATGATTGCATATAATTCAAAATAAGTCATTGATAAACTCTCAAAACTTCATGACTTAAATATTAATACAATAGCTGAAATATGAGGTTTTCGAGGAGCGCTAATATCTACCGTAAAAAGTTAAGAATACGTTTAAATGATAATATGAATCTATCGTTACCGCAATAATTGACAAAGACTATAGTTTATATTATTAAAAAGAGGTGAATGAAATGAAAAAATAATAATGATAATACGTCGACGTATATTATACGGTGAAGTCCAGAAGGGTACACAAAAGAAACTAAAAAACCAAGCTGCGATAAATACTGTTTAAATGATCCTAGTTTTTTATACACAGATATAAATAATAGAAAAGAGAACTAAACTGTTAAATAATATACAAACACTGTCTCACATAAACACACATTTAAAATGCGCACCGGGTAATCGGACCACCCGCGTAAAAGTTTTTAACCGGGCCTCCGAAACCCGGTCGACATTTACTTTCTTTTATATTTTGTATTATTCAAGTCGAAGTTATTTGTGCTAAGTTCAGGATTATTAATAGTAATTCTAAAAGTATTACAAGGGATTTTTTTTGTTATAGTACAATAGTACAATAGGCATAACATATAAAATCTGTTACCATAAATGGAAGTCATTTCAACTACAATAATTCTTGTACTACTAATACACGCACAGTGCCAAACCAATTCTCACAGTTATTAATAATTATTAATTGTATAAAAATGTTTTTTTTTGGTTTAATAAATTTTCTATCAAATGAAACAGATTTTTGGCGGAACGATGATTGACAAAAAAAATTTATTCGTACCTCGAATACGTACAGCGAGTCTTAAAATTTATCACTAAATCATGCAAATCATTCTTTATCGTTCACTTGAAAAAGCGAATTTTTATTTCATTCATATCATCGTGTGAAACGTATAAATACGTTAACTTTTATAAAAGCTCATGCAGAAAAACTAACCGCGTTAAAACATTTAAAATAATTGAATGGAAATAGTAATAGTTAAGAAAAAAGAAGCGCGCTCGCAACTGCCATCGTAAGCTCTGCACAATGTATATAATCGCGTACACAAACTTTCCTCGGAGATGCTACGCTTTTGATGAGGCAATGACTCAGATATAAGACTGCAATATAATATTTATATACGCATTCAAGCACGTGCAATCGGGAATTTGTACACAATGAGTAAAAAAACGTACACACGAGTTAATAATATAATAGAAATAAATTACTAATTAAATATATATATTTATACAACAGACTTAATATATGTATTTTTTAAATAGTTTTTGTTTTTTCTTTATCAACGTGTGTATTATGTACAAACGATAATGATTTTGTGGTATCTTCGAGGAGACCCCGATAATGAATACTCACAACACGGATAATAGTTCATTTACATGAATTTTAATACGTACGGCAGTGACGATGCGCTCTGAAATTTAAACGCGCGACTCAACTACAGAGCAGAACAATCAATATCATTTTGTTAACTATTTACAGTGTTTAATAATTCAACGGACTTTTGTCCAGAGCAATAGTAAAAACCGACGCTAATAATAAACAAATTAATAGTAATGATAAATTATAAGGGATAATTAAGCGATTTACACAAAGATTATAAGTGAAGAATCATAAACCTGATCGAACGAAGAGACATGAAAAATAGTAAATTAATTAATTGTAAAAGAAACATATTGATCAGAATCGGGTTGCAAGCTTATGATTGAAAGAATTACATATAGAACTTAGAGTATACGTTTTTTTGTTCACCGATCATGATGACCGAGTGCTATCAGTGATATTAAACTATACAGTTGTAGATTGACGTCCGTGACTTTTTTGCCTTTTCACCGCGTTACTCATAGACAAAACACACCTATTACATACATTATATACTTACTGATCTAATAATTGAAAGTTAATAGTGAAATGACTCAAGCGCTTGACCAAATAAGAAGGCGTGTTCAATAGAAATATATACTGATGATAGTTTATTAATATTATTGTTTTTCATATGATTTTGTAGTAATAACGGTAGAATCTAATCATGGACGCCAATTTTAGCGCAGGATGTGTTATGAATTATTTCGATCGCCTTATAAATATCTGATATGAAATATACATTTTTGTACTTTACACTATATATATATACTCCTAGTCAGGATAACATCGCGCGTTATTATAATGATATTGTTGCAGTATTTGAGCTATTTCTCTTTTTCTTGCAATACAGTGAAATATTATGTATATGTATAAATGCTCAATAGTTTTTGTTACAGTAAAGATCGATCATTAAAAGGGTCGATCGAAACCGAAGTTACCTCACAACGATATGCCTACTATAGTGAAACGTTATATTTATATCAAAGACAATAGATACAATAGAGATTTATTTACTATTTATTGAATAATAATGTGAAGCCTGGAGTAAACGAGTGGCATTTCTTACAGTCAAGAATTTGTTGTTTTTTATGAATAATGCAATAAGCATCCGTGATACAATAGATATCAGTAATAGATTTATAACGATAATAGAATCAGAAATAGTTTTGCGGCCAGTGGCGACGGGTAACTAGCTTTAAGCATCAACTTGCCACCACAGAGCCTTTATTACACGTTTAATAATGCATACATGACGTAACAGGGAATGAACAGATCACTTTATTACATTTACGCAATATTATTGATATAGTATCCTTCACAGGTAAACGACAACCCAGTTTCGTGTCAATTCATAGACTTTCATAGTGCTTATTTGTGTTAAAAACTTCATTACAGCATTGCATTCATTATTTTTAGTTTGAGATTAAATATTAAGATAATGCAGAGTAAGATATATTGATTCATGTTCCATTTGATCTTGATCATTTCATTCACATTTGACACAAAACTGCGGTAATGTCATTTACTCATTTCAGTCAAGTCTTTACATATTACCACTAGAAATAAAAATATTTATTTTCGTTACCAGAGGGTCAATAGTTTAATAATCAAAGATTTTTATTTTTGCATTTTTTTTATCTTTGTTTATATAATTTGTCATCAAACTACCGTTACTCATATTTTCTGCTGAAAATAAAACCAAACAAATCAAACAATCAATCGTTTACTTAATGATAATAATATATAATCGTGACTAAAGAGTGTTACGTCTTTCATCGATTTGTATCAATGAATACGTTTTTAATTTTGTATTTAGGTGAACATTTAATTGAAAAATACTTCACGCGGTCGAAAACATAAAAGATGAAAATTGCACATCCCAAACTGCAAATGTACCCGAACTTATTGTAAAATCATGAGCGTTTGTAAGAATGTGAAAACCGAATGAATTGTGTTGCACTACTTTAACCTTTAGGAAAAAAAAAGAAAAAAACATAAAATTAGGATTTGGAATATATAAGCGTATGCATAAGTAAAACAAATATCGATATCATATAGGCAAATATTTCGGAATCCATTAATTCAAAAAAAAAATAATAATAACTGTAAGTTTAAATGCTGCGCGTAAGTGCAACATATTAGCGGATAGATCGGATTGAAATTATCCATTGTCAGTCGAAAAAAGTTTCAACTTCGAGTAAATAACGAGACGGGATCAGCTTGCGAGTTTCGTGAAAGATAAAAAGAGAGCAAAAATTATCGTAAAAAACGAGGCTTTTCGATGAGTAAAAAAAAAATAACACTTTTTGGTAGATTTTATCGATCTAAGCCGGTGTACCACACAAAAAATTTAATCCTATGCTACTTTCGACACGTATTTATCAAAAGTATATTCTCATCACGTATATAAGATATAAAAATATGAAATCGTGCTATTATAAAAGATTGCGAATGGGAAATAGTGTGCGGGGCTTTTCTGGCTATTGATTAATAAGATAAGTTCTTTGAGTTACCAATACAGGCTGAAAAAATTTTCAAAACGTACTTTTAATTAAATCAAATTTTTCTTTGTATGTATATGAGGTTATTATTATCTAATTAAGTTGAATAATTTTAGGGGTTTTTATGATAGTGCGAGTAGAAATCGCCCCAGCGAGCTTTTCGGTATCTAGAAATGTGCCGATCGTGAAAAAATTGCAATCTTTTGGCTAATTTGTATATAGATATTTAAATGTAATCTTCTGATAATATTTGTAGTAAATTAACAAAATTTAAAGCTTTCATATATGCGGCATACTTTAGATTATTTCTATAATTGAGGTAAATTGAAATTCCGCAAGTTTTAGGTAGCTATAATTAAAAATCGACACATTTCCTAGATTCGCGCTTACATTGTACTCGTAAAAATGACACGCAGAAAATTTGAGAAAAATTTTTAAAGTAATCCATTGCTACTAAATTTCACACGAAGTTGTGCACCGTGCGTTAAAATTATGTTTGGAGCAAAAAAAATTGAAAGATTTCGATGATGCGCGGCTCATAAAGTCGGAATCGGGATAGAAGAATCGAACGACCGACTGAAAGCTTGATCGGGTGCAAATACAATATGAGTACAAGTGGTATAGTATGTTTGGGTTTATTTAGATAATGTGAAGATGTATGCTTAGGTTATTGATAAAATATTATTACACGTATTTAAAGTTATATAATAAAATATCGCAGAGAAAATAATGAGGACGAGAAAAATAAAGTAGGAGGCTTAGAAGAAGATGTAATGCGCGATTAAGACCGTTGAGCGACGTATGTGTATAGTTGAAATAATTGTAAATGTGAAACTGTTGAAAAACGAGGGAAAAAATAACAAACCGACTTGGAAGTGTATCCGGCATAGCAACATTTAAAGAAAGATTCTCTCTCTTCGTATTTACCTCATTAATTTCAAGCGAGCAATGTTCGGCAAACGTATTTGGCTAAATGAAATTGACAAAAATTGATGAAAAAAAAATTCAAAAATCGTATAAAACAAAAAAACGTCTCGGGGAGGAGAGAGAAAGTAAAAAATTTAGTAGCTTAAGAGGTATATAATCATTTTCTTGAATATATCTGTATACATACTTATATATGATATATAGAAAAAATTGAAAGCTCGCGTTTCTGTTGATTTTAAAGCTGTTTTTCTCAGTTGCTGTTTGGAGAAACGTACACACGGCCGGGGCAAAAATTGAAATCTCAATGTATGCAAAGAAAACACTCGTAAAACGTAAAGATAATTGTACACTTTTCACGTCACTCACACACGTTACACACACAAATAAGACAAACAGAGTATAAGACACATATACACACACACACACTTGCACCTATGTACGTTTTTCATCGCGATATCGCGTATGTGTTTGTTAGTTTTCCACTTCTGTTTTTGTTGATTAGTTCAAAGGATAATAAATAAATAAATAAATAAATAAATAAATAAAAGTCTAATGTACGATTAAATAAATGACGGGGGGGAGATGATTAAAGTAAAAAAAGCGTCGGGTGATCGACCAAAAAGTGATCGCTCGTTTCGCACCTATATCCGCGCCGAGTCGGACGAGGACATGCAAAAAAAGTGCTCGACGAGATATCTCTCTTCTCGCGAGCCTTTCTCGGGTTTCAAAAACTCGAATGGTTTCGGACACGTGTTAAAAAAGATAAAAAAATAAAAATTGATTAAAAACTCTTTCGGCCGTTGTTGTTTGATCAATGAAAAAGAAAATTTTCTCGACTCTCGTTCAATAACAAAAAACTTGGAATCGTCCGGCTTGGCCGATCGCACACCTAAGCCTGTATACCACGTTGGTAACCGAGGTGTCATGATACGATCTTAGGCACATCGA